CTAAATAAAAATAATTCCATCAATCTACAAATAAAATTATTGTAACAAGAGTTCATATTTTTCTCAGGCATTCATTAGTAAACTTTATAAACCTATTAGTTTAACATTGTTATATGTCCCTAGGGAGAGAAAACGCATATTGGGCTCTGTACAGTAACAATGACATGTATAACACCACATAAATCCAATTAATAAATATGAAACACCTATGCCAACCCTTTCACCTAATAATCTATAGAGAATCTTTGTATTACATGAACGATTGAAAAATACATGTATTTTGCAGAGTGAACACAAGATGTATAAAAATATTAGCTGGTGTTCACAAAATTAATGAAAACTACAAAGAATAATCTATTGTAAGCTAAATAATAATTTTCCTAAAACTGACTGTCTATAATTCATGCTTTTAATTTATAATGTGTATTGAATTAAAAGATTTCAATATCATGCCAAAGTGCTTAAAGTATTAATTACATAGTCATATAATATACTAAGAATATTATAATACTAACTAATTAGTTTATGAAATCTATGACTGAGAAACCTCTATGTATTGATAAGATAAGGATTCCAAGTGTAACTTAAACTATGACTTTGAACTAATGACTTATTTGGGTCATCTACTGACCATAGACCAAGTTAATTAAATGTTAAACAAAACCCACGCTTATATTTTCTCACATTTCCAAAAGTTGTTCATTGGACAAAGGTTCACTGTGACCTTGACCTATGCTAAGATCTCAAAATCTGTAAGGATCACCTACTTTCCATGGGCAATGTCACTACAAAGTTTTACGAAATTAGGCTTATCAATTTTAATTTTATTGATCACACAAGGACTTTACCCAAAGAAATCTAAAAAATATAATTTCCACTGTAGACTGAATATATCTGAATGCGGATGAAAAGAATATCATAACTAAATGGAATAACAGGCAAAAATAAATGCCCTCATACGTAAATTTTGCTTATTTAGGAAAAGAAAGTGGATGTTATCATACATCATGTTAAAAATGTAGCAAAATAAGAGAAAATTTACATATATATTTCAAAATAGACGATGTGATGACGTCAAAAAGGAGAACGCACGACATTACGCGGCAAAATCAATGAATGAAGTGACTTCATATTAAGACATAATATTTTAGGATAAAAACCTATATATTTAACTCAAATTGAAGTACAAATTATTGGATTTACACTGACTTTGCTATAATTGAATGTAACTTAGTAATTAATGAATAGGTCCTTTTCATACTTGGACAGATAAGACCTCCTAAAGAGTTGTACTGACCTTAACAATGAGCTTTAAATGACCTTGACTGTCAAGACCAATTTATTGAAGTTCGGTTCAATTGTCATTATTTTGTTATTTATGTACAGATTTGATTCATACTAGTTAGGACAAAACAACACTTATGACAAAACGGCGGATTGAATAATTCAGATATGATATGACCTTGACCGTTTAAATGACATTGACCACCATCAAAAACAGATATTTGCATTTTGCTTATATATGTCTTATCTTTGCCATTTATTTATGGAAAGTATTCAAACTTGTGCACAACAACAAGTGTGACTTGACATACCTATTAAAATAAAAAAGTAAAATCTATTTTTTCTTTAATTTTCTTTTTAAAGATTTGTTAAAACGGTTTATTTTTTGCTTTAAGAAAAAGTAAAAACGTTGATCGTTGCCCATGCCCGGCTAAGGCTCTTGTTTATTATCAATAATTGGTCGAGCACAGGCATAATAATCAATCTATTTCTCTGTAACTAATTCAACTCAACTCGACAGTAAAAAATTGAGCATTATGGTACCTAAATCACGCACGCAATTCACGGTATTTCACTTTCAATAAAAACCGATAAATAAAGTATCAAATATTCATGTTATTTACCTTTAAGTGTTCAATTATTGATCTTCACATGCTTTCAAATATATTGAGTTCATGTCATTTACCTTTCATTTTCCTCTCATTAAAATAGTTTACGACTCATTAATATCCTAGATAAAAATGTAAGAGAATAAAGAAGACGCCGTCTAATGCCTAAAATACATTGATATGAAAACTTATATAGAAGGGTAACCATACTGCTACCGCATTTCTAGTAAGGCAATTGTTTGATTTTTGTATTGCAATCATGTCATTTATTCTTATGTCACAAACGTTATTCATAAACGTATTACAAACACTCGTTTTTATGTTACACAAGAAAACGAATTCCAAGCAAGAACTCGAAAATAGATAACAAGCGTTTGGGCAGGTCAGTCTTTCTGAAACCATTTTCACCCTGTTCTTTTTTTTCAGGTAAAGAAAATGCATACAAAGCGCGTATATCCACATTAATGGATATAACAATTGCCATGGTTAATGATGATAATGATGATGATGTTCGCGAATGAATCATATTTAAACGAAATTTACAAAATATCTTGGAAATTCGTAAACATTCACTCAGAACATTGCTACGCAGAATATTACTGTCCACACTGGTGTCAGACTTATTTTAACCCTTTTTCAAAAAAAAACTGTTATTTTTTAATTGTCATTTTGCTTTAAAGAATCAGCTTGAGGTTATTTTAGACGGACATTTTTAAAATTTAAAACCCTAACATCCCAAAGGATGTTTTGAGTTATAAGAAATAATCGAGAAATTTTTAAAAAGTTTATTTTCCCCTTCAAACACAGTGACAATTAAAGATTTTGACCAGATAAGGCATATGAAAAATTAAATTGCTTTCTGTCAAATTCAAAATTTCTGTGTATAAAAAATTTGAGGGTGTATATATACATGTAACTTTATAAGGAAGTGTGAAATGATCAACTGTTAATAATATTTAAACATGGTGAAAAGTGTCCTGACTTTAACTGTTTTAAGTTCGATTACGTATCCGTACTAATTTTCAAAACAATCCTAAGATAAAATTCAAACGTTTTAAATCACTGTCATTCAAGCTATAAATACCATATTGCCAATTGTTATAGATTTATTTAGCTTCTATAAGTGTCGTTATTTTGCCTTTTGCAGATCTCATTAGTAGTTCATAATGCGAGGGCTGTCGGTTACGTTTTGAAACTGTGGTTATGTTTCATAAAGTATTGAAAATCAATCAATACAGATATAAAAAAACGTGAATAGAAACTCTAGATAAAATTGCTAACTGAAAATGTCATACTTTAAAAATATATTTTAAAAGAAAAATTTTGCCAAGACAATTTGTGTAGCGATTTACGGTACACTTTGAATAACTTAGTAATTAATGTATGGATTATCTTGAAACTTGGACAAGACTTTCTGAAACGTTGAGCTGACCTTGACTTTGAGCTCTAAATGAGCTTGACTGTCAATGTCAAATTATTGAATTTTGGTTAAATTGTCATAATTTTGTTATTTATGAACGGATTTGATTTATACTTTGAAAAAACAAGACTTGTAGTCAAACAAACAAATTGCATAATTTAATTGTGACCTTCACCTTTAATTGATCTTGGGATTCTCTTATTGTTTTCTATATATAGCTTTGACATTAGGACCTTGTGCACAATGGAACTTTGATATAAGCTGACCTTGATTTTATTTTGACGAAGTGACCTACTTTTGATATCAGCTGACATAGATAAAATGAGAAAGTGACCTGCTATATTATTCTTTGGTGTAAAAACTTAAAAAATCTTCTTTTAAAGAACTCAAAGAGCTATGGCTAAAATATTGAGCTTCAAACATGTTCTAATAGGTGTCTACCAAGTTTGTTCAAATAAAAGCCCTGGGGTCAAAATTGGCCCCGCCCCAGGGGGTCATTGATTTTCCCTATATGCATATAGTAAAAATTAAAAAAATCTTCTTTTAAAGAACCAAAAGAGATAGAGCTAAGATATTTAGCATGAAACATGTTCTAATAAGTGTCTACCAAGTTTTTTCAAATAAAAGCCCTGGGGTCAAAATTGGCCCCGCCCCGGGTGGTCATTGATTTTCCCTATATGTATATAGTAAAAACTTAAAAAATCTTCTTTTAAAGAACTCAAAGAGCTATGGCTAAGATATTTAGCATCAAACATGTTCTAATAGGTGTCTACCAAGTTTGTTCAAATAAAAGCCCTGGGGTCAAAATTGGCACCGCCCCGGGGGTCATTGATTTTCCTTATATGTGTATAGCAAAAACTTAAAAAATCTTCTTTGAAAAAAACCCAAATAGCTAGAGTTAAGATATTAAGCATGAAACATCTTTTAGTGAGTGTCTACAAAGTTTGTTCAAATAAAAGACCTGGGGTCAAAATTGGCCCCGCCCCGGGGGTCATTGATTTTTTTTACATGTGTATAGCAAAAACTTAAAATCTTCTTTGAAAAAACCCAAATAGTTAGAGTTTAGATATTAAGCATGAAACATCTTCTAGTAAGTGTCTACAAAGTTTGTTCAAATAAAAGCCCTGGCCCGGCCCCAGGGGTGTCATTGTTTTTAACTATATGTGTATAGTAAAAACTTTTAAAAAATCTTCTTTTAAAAAGCCCAATGAGCTTTAGCTTAGATGTTTAGCATGAAACATCTTCTTATGGGTGTCTACCAAGTTTGTGCAAATTAAAGCCCTTGGTTTAAATTGGCCCTGCAACGTTGGGGCGGGGGTGGGGGTTGGGGGGGCCTATATACAGGTGAGCGACCTCAGGGCCATCATGGCCCTCTTGTTAAAAGGTTAAGACTGAATAATTTCAGTGCCTTGAACATTGTATGAAAATGGTTTGTGTTAACATTGAAAAGTTTTAAGGGCTTTGAACTTAAAATGAAAAAAATAATTAATGCACCATCTGAAATTTTGGCTGCATGCGGGGGCATCTGTGGCATGATGACACATTTCTTGTTTTCTTTTATTTTGGGTACCGCAAGAAATATTGTCATTAAATTGATACCTTTCATGAGGCAAAGTTTTAATTGGAATGCGAATACATATTTTTTTTAAAATCAGTCATAGGCTAATGTATACAATACAATGTACTTGGAAAAACATATTATAGAATTATTGATTAAATGACTTTCAAAATACCATATTTTATATTATGGCCTGGTACACTGTCATCAAATAAGTTAATGTATATTTTGTTACTAGATTGTATAGTTTTAGTATTGTACTGATACAAGGAAACAATCACTGTAGGCGTGAATTTGTTGCTTGACAGAGATTTCATCATAATTATTATGTCTTTGTTTAAATAACAATGCCTCAAATTTCTGACCAGTTACAACATTTTGCATCTTTTCAGTGTCTTCTTTTGTTTATTCTTTTAGAAGATATAGTATCTTTGAGCCCAATTTGTATTCTTTGATTTGACTTGACTCTCCTACAACAATTAGTGTAGATTTCTTCTTGTTGAAAAGTACTGCTAACACAGGCGATGAATCTGCTAATTTAAGTGTTTTTTGCTGGGTCCAATGTAATGATTTCAGAGACATTTCTCCATTCTTGTTTCCAAATATAATCTTGTCTGCAGACAGCATACAGATATACTCATATCTACGATAATAGCCACGAATGTTATAGCTTGTAATAGTTGGTTTTTGTTTCATCTCTGTCTTACTAAATGTATATATGTTATTATCTGCATCAATTAAATGAAAAGTATTTACACTGATAAGTATCTTTAATGGCTCACCGAACTGTCGACTTTCCGCTTCCTCATTGTTATATATTGACAAAAATTCACCTTTTCTACTGTAAACAATAACATGATATTTGTATGTCATGTTATTAGTAAAGAAACGGGTCGTTTTCTTTTCAGGCTTTTCACATTCAACCATATAACAAACATACACAGTATTTTCTGTAGGGTCACTATCAATCTTGGTGCATTTTCCTTCTTCTATAGGAAATGATGTCTCTAAAGACATGTTTTCATCAATGGTTACAAACTGAACAACGTTTCTTTCCCTTAGTACAATGGCAACCTCATGTGGTTTTGTAACACACATACATTCTGGGGTATCATTTAAGTCAATAAAATCTTTCACCTCCAAATTATCTCCCAGTCGTTTAAACTTGGAATTATTTGCATCTGTGATTACCACAGTATCGTCAGGCAGTTGACACATTCCATTTATGCTGCACTTGTTACTGTCAGTTTGGCATGTGATATCAACAGATTGTTTGAGTTGTAGAGAAAATACAGGACTTCCCTTTGTTTCTTCAACAACTTCCCCAAATGCTGTGAATTTATTAGGTATGACTTCATCATTGAACTTGTAAAAAATGGAGGGCTGCAGCCAATTTTTAGAAAGATCTGTCACTACTTCCTTCACTTCCTTCAAATTGATCTGGTAATTCTTCATCGTTATGAAGGCCTCCACTTCATTCATGTCATCTCTGTTTATTTGATTTAAACTTTTTCTCAATCCTGACATAACTGCGCCTAGTCCTTTTATATCAGCCTTGACTGCATCTTGATGTTTTGCATGAGTTTTTCGGATATTTTCTCTAGATGTATTTGCTAGGACTTTTATCCTTTGTATTAGCCTATCTTCATATTCATCAATATCAGCCAAGATTTGTTCCTTTTCCTCTTTCATATCTTTTAAGTTGTAATTTCGATATGCTTTTTCCTGATTTGCAGATGTAATGAATTTTTGCAAGGAAGATTTTAAGTTACAGAATACTTGACTTTCTTTAGTTCCCTCTGCAACTGTTTCTATCATGTTCACCTCCTTGCATGACCTATAAAATGTAATACAGTAACATATTGTAGTCTTATTGAACAACTTAAAAATATAAGATATTTGTTCAGTGACCCATTATGCCCGAAAATGCTTTTTATTTTCATTTCTTGAGTGAAGCTTTTTATTTTTGATGTCCTGTTAAAGTGTCAAAAATATTTATTTGCCATTGATGCCATGTCCTTTTTTCGCTGTTTGTGTTTCAATTTTTCAGATTTTCGAGGCAAAAAAAGCAAAAATACTAATAGAATAAACACTGTCAAAATACAAAAATGAGAAAACACAAAGAGACAACAAAGCTACTCTTTGCTTTTTAGCATTGTTACATTTTTCGCATTGTTGCATTTTCGCTTTTTAGCATTGTTACATTTTCGCATTGTTACATTTTCACATTTTGGGTGAAGGGGTGAAAGGTCAAGGTCACATTTACCTTGTATGTTTAAGTGATTTCCAACCAATGATTCAAAATTTTTCCTTGTTTGTTAAAACAGATGTGACCAATAACTCAATAAGCCATAAGCCCTTGGCCCTCAAACTGACAGGTGCATTGGGCTTGTTAAAGACAACCCTTATTGATTTTAGGAGCAGGGGGGCAAAGGACTAAGTCACATTCACCTTCCTTTATATCATATTGCACTAGATATTACTATGATTGTTAAGTTAATTGTAAACCAACTTTTTTGTGCCCCTGGGCATATAGTAATTGAACTGTCCGTCTGTCTGTCCTTCCGTCTGTCTGTCTGCATGTACAAGGTTAACTTAAAATGGCAAATTGGAATTTTCTTAAGTACTACCTATACCAATGGCTTCATACTTTACACACTAACATATCAACACATATACATTATCTGGGAAAGTTACATAACTATGGCTTCCATTTTTACCAAGGAATTGCCTAAGAAAATGAAGAATTGATGGTTAGCCTATAATGGCAAGTTTGATATATCTTAAGTTCTATCTATACTTATAGTTTCATAATTACTTATCAATACAAAGTACTTTATATTGCCAAATTATAACTGTGCCATCTGTTTTTAGCTCGCCTGTAACAAAGTGACATTGTGAGCTTTTGTGATCGCTTTTCGTCCGGCGTCCGTCCGTAAACTTATACTTTAAACGACATCTCGTCATATACGGCTAAGCCAATTTCATCCAAACTTCACAGGATTGTTCCTTTGGTAGTCAACTTTAAAAATTGTTCCTAGCTGAACTCTGGTTGCCATGGCAACCCAAAGAAAAAACTTAAAATATCTTCTTCACTCACTGTAGAAAACCGAAAAAGCTAGAGCTTAAATATTTGGCATGAAACATCATCTAGTCATTGTCTACCAAGTTTGTTCAAATAAATTAGGGCTGGGAATTATATTCCAATATTCGAAACACTACCGAATATTCGAACATTGAAAAACGAATACGAATATTCGAAAAAAAAATGTTATTACTTTCAAATTTCAATTAAGACGTAAATTATACCCTTGGCATTTACTTGAACAGATGTTTGTATGACGCGTGTCAACGAGTATGGCCAATTAACTGTGAAAAGTTAAAGGGCACCCGTTTCACAGTTTGCAATTTACCTGTTTAACAGTTTATACTGTAATTTTTTTTATTTTAAATATATAACTTCATAGTTTTCTGTGCTATAATATATCCGATTTAAGAAATAACATCGGCCTGAGAGGTGTATAGCGGCTATTTAACACAGGTTTGGAGTTTTGATGCACAGGAATTGACCACAAAGGCCGTAGGCCTGAGTGGTTAATTTTTTCGCATCAGAACGACAAAACCGGTGTTAAATAGCCGATATACACCTCTCAGGCCGATGTTATTTCGATTCTAACACGATAAAATAAGGAAAATCAAAGTTATTTTTCAAGCGGAAATAACTTCCTGTGCCGATTTTCGTATAATGCTGTTCGATTTTCGCACCCTACTATTGCGAAGATTTAGAAATTATTAAACAAAAGAAGTAATAAGAAAAAAAAACGTTATTTTATCAAGTTTTCAACAATAAAAACTTACGTCGTATTGTTTTTACATCAGTGCCCCATTTATCATTCTTGTATGTATGAAATAACGTCAGCTTGTTTATGAATGAGTTGTTAACTTAGGATGACGTCATTACGCTGCTTACCGAGTGCGCCGTTTTGTCAAAATATTTATTAACTGATATGGATCTAATATGTGGCGTTAGTGTATGTGAGATATTATTTCGGTATTGAATGAAAAGAAAACATTATACGAACTGAAAGTATAAATAAAAATGCTTTGTATTGTTGCTTTAAAATGCTTTGTAAACTATACAATCGAGGGTGAAAACATAACAGCGCACGTACAAGTAGTCCCTAACCAGTGTTTATTGGCAGTTTAACACCAGCTTTTTTCCTTCTTTGTCTATAAAATCACGTGAGTGTTAGAACAATCAATAATTGTCTTAAATTGTGTGAAGAAGAATAAATCGGCACATATAAATCGGTGCGTTATGACAACAGTTTAGTTTAGATTATTTGTTTATTTATTTATGTCTCATCCATGCATATTTACAATGTACGAAACATAAAATACAGCAATAAAAAGCATGGCCAAGCTATCACAGATTTATAGGAGACTATCATAAAACAACTTTAATAATTTATACTGATTAAAATCAGAAATAAAAATAAAAGGATGGGAAGTGTCTATATTCGGTTCCGTAGAAATTAGACTCCGTGTGATATTTACTGCGTTATAGTTAAATGTATCTGAAGAATATTTCAAACCTTATCTAAAATTATATAATTATAAATAAAAGAAAATATTTAATACTAGTTAAGTAAATATAATTATGTGTTATAGGGGCTAAGAGGTAACAATGATTCATGTACATTGTCAGTCGAGTCAGGTGAGTAACCACCCATTAATAGGACAAATTATCAGCAGTCGAATTAATTGAACAAAAGACAATCAAATTATGAAATTATTTGAAAAGTAAACATATTTATCGATTTACAATTAATAAAATACAAAAAATTGACATAGTAATAAAGTTCTTTTTCATCGTCGATTATTCCAAGCATATTAAAGTAGTAATAGTATTCGACGCAAACAATTTTTGATACGTATAGGTCAAATAGAAATATTGGAACAAAAGTTGTAAAAACGAATATTCGAATATATATCTGAATATGGAAAACTAATATTCGAACATCAAATTTCTTATTCGTTCCCAGCTCTCACATAAATGCCATAGGGTCCAAATTTAGATTGAGTAAGGGGTCAGTTGGGTCAAGGCCAACAGTGCTAAAAATATATTTTTTTCACTTTTGCCCATAGAGACTTTTTTATGGAGAGATTTTTTTCATATTTGGTTGCAAGATAACTTGCATGTTTTTCCTTTCAATTAAGTTAGGTGTCAGTGGGTCAAGGTCAAAAAGGCCAATTATAGATTTTCTTTATTTTTGACTGATTTTTTTTATATTTGAAATCTTGCATCCTTGGATCGAGTTAGGGGATCATTTGGGTCAAGGTCACCATTGTAAAAATAGATTTTCACACTTTTTAGCTCACCTGAGTATATGCTCAGGGTGAGCTATTAGGATCACTCTTCGTCTGTCGTCCGTTGTATGTCGTCTGTCGTCCGTTCACACTTTTAAAACAACATCTCATCTGAAACCATAAGGCAGATCATAATGAAACTTCACAGGGATGTTCCTTGTGTGAAGCCTTAACAAAGTTGTTCAAAGAATTCCATTCCATGCAGAACTCAAAAAACTTGAAATATCTTCTTCTAAAAAACTCAAAGAGCTAGGGCTTAGATATTTGGCATGAAACATTTTCTATAGAGTGTCTGACAAGTTTGTTCAAATGAAAGCCCTGGGGTCAAAATTGGCCCCGCCCCAGGGGGTCTTTGATTTTCGCTATATATAGTAAAAACTTAAAATATCTTCTTTTAAAGAACCCAAAGAGCTAGAGCTAAGATATTAGCATGAAACATCTTCTAATGAGTGTCTACCAAGTTTGTTCAAATAAAAGCCCTGGGGTCAAAATTGGCACCGCCCCAGGGGGTCAATGATTTTCCCTATATGCATATAGTAAAAACTTAAAAATCTTCTTTTAAAGAACCCAAAGAGCTAGAGATAAGATTTTTAGCATGAAACATGTTCTAATGGATGTCTACCAAGTTTGTTCAAATAAGAGCCCTGGGGTCAAAATTGGCCCCGCCCCGGGGGTCATTGATTTTCCTTATGTGTGTATATAGCAAAAACTTAAAAAATCTTCTTTGAAAAAAACCAAATAGCTAGAGTTTAGATACTAAGCATGAAACATCTTCTAGTGAGTGTCTACAAAGTTTGTTCAAATAAAATCCCGGGGTCAGAATTGTCCCCGCCCCGGGGGTCATTGATTTTCCTTATATGTGTATAGCAAAAACTTGAAAAAAATCTTCTTTGAAAAAACTCAAATAGTTAGAGTTTAGCATCTTCTAGTGAGTGTCTACAAAGTTTGTTCAAATAAAAGCCCTTGGTCAAAATTTGCCCCGCCCCGGGGGACATTGATTTTTCCTTATATATGTACAGCAAAAACTGAAAAATCTTCTTTGAAAAAACCCGAATAGCTAGAGTTTAGATAATAAGCATGAAACATTTTCTAGTAAGTGTCTACAAAGATTGTTCAAATAAAAGCCCTGGGATCAAAACTGGCCCTGCCCCAGGGGTGTCATTGCTTTTAACTATATGTGTAAAGAAAAATCTTTAAAAATCGTCTTTTAAAAAACCCAACGAGCATGACCTTAGATGTTTAGCATGAAACATCTTCGAATGGGTGTGTACCAAGTTTGTTCAAATAAAAGCCCTGGGGTTTAAACTGGCCCCGCTCTGGGGGCCTATATACAGGTGAGCGACTTCAGGGCCATCATGGCCCTCTTGCTTTGTACAGCATTTATTGTTTTTTTTTACCAATGTCAATACAGCTTTACGCTGACTTTACTCATGTAACTTTTAAAGGGACATAATAATGAGATTTAATAATATTATTATAATATATATATCAAAGTTATTTTGAATTTAATTCTGGTTTTAAAACGTTTATTAATACAGTTTCTTTCATTTTTCTTTTGAATGTGTCTGGTTCTTGCATTTTATAGATTGGCATTATATTAAATTTTGGAGTGATGCCTCTAGCGCAAATGGCAATGTGTCTACTGACTGGTGACAATACATTTTCTGGATTTCGTATATGTTGGTTGTGTAATGTTACTCTTTTTCATAAATTTGAGGTTTCCCCAACATAATGTTTGGAACATCCATTACATGTCCATGCATAAATTACATTTTGTATGTCGCATGATCCTAAAATTGGCAGCCATTCTTGAAATGGTACATTGTATGTATTTCCTTCTATCAAGTGTTTGCAGCATTTTAAACTATTGCATCGTATAATCTTTTTCTTTCTCTGTGTTGAAGAAAATTGTGCTCTGGTCATTTTTTTTTTTTAGCTCATCTGTCACAAAGTGACAGGGTGAGCTTTTGTGATCGCTTTTCGTCCGGCGTCCGTCCGTCGTCCGTCGTCCGTCCGTCGTCCTTAAACTTTTACTTTAAATGACATCTCCTCATAAACCACTAAGCCAATTTCATCCAAACTTCACAGGAATGTTCCTTTGGTGGTCACCTTTGAAAATCGTTCTAAGAATTTAATTCCATGCAGAACTCTGGTTGCCATGGCAACCAAAAGAAAAAAACTTTAAATATCTTCTTCTAAAAAATACAAAGAGATAGAGCATAGATATTTGGCATGAAACATCTTCTAGTGAGTGTCTACCAAGTTTGTTCAAATAAAAGCCCGGGGGGTCAAAATTGGCCCCGCCCTAGGGGGTCATTGATTTTCCCTATATGCATATAGTAAAAACTTAAAATATCTTCATTTAAAGAACCCAAAGAGTTAGAGCTAAGTAATTTAAAATGAAACATCTTCTCATGGGTGTCTACACAGTTTGTTTAAATAAAAGCCCTTGGGTCAAAATTGGCCCCGCCCCAGGGGGTCATTGATTTTCCCTTTATGCATATAGTAAAAACTTAAAAAATCTTCTTTTAAAGAACCCAAAGAGCTAGAGCTAAGATATTTAGCATGAAACATGTTCTAATGGATGTCTACCAAGTTTGTTAAAATAAGAGCCCTGGGGTCAAAATTGGCCCCGCCCCGGGGGTCATTGATTTTCCTTATATGTGTACAGCAAAAACTTAAAAATTCTTCTTTGATAAAAACCAAATAGCTAGAGTTTAGATACTAAGCATGAAACATCTTCTAGTGAGTGACTACCAAGTTTGTTCGAATAAAAGCCCTGGGGTCAAAATTGGCCCCGCCCCGGGGGTCATTCATTATCCTTATATGTGTATAACAAAAACTTAAAAAATCTTCTTTGAAAAAACTTAAATAGCTAGAGGTTAGATATTAAGCACGAAGCATCTTCTAGTAAGTGTCTACAAAGTTTGTTCAAATAAAAGCCCTGGGGTGAAAATTGGCCCCGCCCCAGGGGACATTGATTTTCCTTATATGTGTATAGCAAAAACTTAAAAATCTTCTTTGAAAAAACTCAAATAGCTAGAAAGCATGAAACATCTTCTAGTAAGTGTTTACAAAGTTTGTTCAAATAAAAGCCCTGGGGTCAAACTTGGCCCCACCCCGGGGGTCATTGATTTTCCTTAAATGTGTAAAGCAAAAACTTAAAAATCTTCTTCGAAAAATCCGAATAGCTAGAGTTCAGATATTAAGCATGAAACATTTTCTAGTAAGTGTCTACAAAGTTTGTTCAAATAAAAGCCCTTGGGTCCAAACTGGTCCTGCCCCAGGTGTGTCATTGTTTTAAACTATATGTGTAAAGAAAAGCCTTGACCGGCTAGACTTTAGATGTTTAGCATGAAACATCTTCTAATGGATGTCTACCAAGTTTGTTCAAATAAAAGCCCTTGGGGTTTAAACTGGCCCCGCTACGGGGGTTTATATATAGGTGAGCGACTTCAGGGCCATCATGGCCCTCTTGTTTAATTGGCCGGTTGTCTTTTCTTTTTAATTATGTGACTGCTTTCAATTATTCCTTTCATTATTTCATCATTTTGTAAAATTGGTAGATTTTCTTGTATTACTGTGAAAATTTGGTATTCTTTGGATAATGTGTTGACACGTATGGTATGACTATTCTTCCGTAATCTATTGCTAAAGCTCTCTGGGTGCCGTTTTCTATAAGTTTCTGAGGATATTTTAAAGAAGCCAAGAATTTGTTTAATGAATTCAATCTGAGATGCAATATGTCAATATTAATCATTATAGGAATGGCCTCTGTCTGTCAGTCTGTCTGTCTGTCTGTCTGTCTGTCAGTAACACTTTCGTGTCCGCTCGATAACTAAAGCTGCAGATTTTTTTTTAATAATAACTTGACACAAGTGATCACAATAATCAGATGATGTGCAAAGTGTAAAAATTTAGTTGCTACCCAACAGGGTCAAGGTCACACTTAAATGTTAAAAAGTCTTCATTTCATAATAAAAGTCTACATTTCGTGTCCGCTCCATAACTTTTTTAACCGCTGAATTTTTTTTAAATAAGTTGGACCAAGTAATCACCATAATGAGACAATTTGCAGATCGCAATAATTGGGTTGCTACCCCAAATGTCAAGGTCATACTTAAAGGTCAAAATTTAAAAGTCTTCATTTCATAATAAAAAGTCTACATTTCCTGTCTGCTCCATAACTTTTGAACCGCTGAAAATATTTTGAAATAACTTGGCACAACTGATCAACATTATGAGACAACGCGCAGAGTGCAATTATTGGGTTGCTATCCAAAAGGTCACGGTCACACTTTAAGGTCAAATGTTAAAAAATGTACATTTCTTTTCCGCTCCATAACTTTTAACCACTGAATTTTTAAAAAAAAGAATAACTTGACACAATGGATCACCACTCTAAGGCATGTGCAAAGGGCATTAATTGGGTTGCTACCCCCAAGGTGATGGTCACACTTCAAGGTCAAATGTATAAAAGTCCATATTTCGTGTACGCTCCATAACTTTTAAAATCGGATGGCAGAATTGATCATCATTATGAGACGATGAGCTGATCACAATAATTGAATTGGTACCCCCAAGGTCAAGGTGACACCTACAAGTCAAATGTTAGAAAGTCTTCATTTCATGTCTGTCCATAATTATCATTTAAACCACTGCAATGTTTTTATAATAACTTGGCAGAAATGATCACCATTATAATACTATTGGAAGAGCACAATGATCAAGTCACAATCCTAAAGGTCAGGGTCACACTCAAAGGTCCAATGTAAAAACATCTATTCATGTCATGTCAGCTCTATAATTTATTGACAATTCAAAGATTTTAAATCACTTGGCACAAATGATCCCCACCATGACATTATCTGCAGAGATCAACATTCATGTCCACTGCGGAAGGGGATTAAGCTGTCATTCAGACTGCCTTGTTTGATATAATTGTACAAAGACGTCTAGCTAGTGAAAATGCCAGAATGGGATGTTTTGTTTCCTGTGTTTCGGATGCCAAGAGTTAAATAAAAGATATTGTTTACTGTTAGTAGGTTTATAGTAGTATCTGTTTCTATTTGGTCAACATTTAATTTAACTATAACATCCAGAAAAGGAAATTTTTATACTTGTGTTTAACAAACGCGCTCTTGTTTTTAATGATCATTAGGACTTTTTTCAGTACATTATCTCTTTTTATGTGTCTATCATAATGGTGTCTTATTCTTACTATCCATTAAAGGCAAGAGGGGGGGGGGGGAGTTATGTATTGTTTTGACATTTCTTGTTCATATTAAAGCTGTTGCAGAGTATAAGCAATATCTTTGTTAAATATTGTTTTGTAATATTTATCAAACATGTCAAAAATGTATTTCAAAGTTAAATATTGTGGTGTGAACAAAGAAAGTAATTAACAAATTACAAAACAACACTTACAGTCCATTTAAATTACCAAAAATGGTCAATATAATGCAAAAATAGCCCCTACTGTGTTAGTAACTTAGTAGAAATATTGTTATAAATCCTGCTAAATCAGTTATTAATGGCACATAACATGTAAATGATTACTTGAATCTTGCATCATTTTACTCTTCTTAAAAAACAAGTAAGTTTGATTTTCTTGAAACATTCTGGCTCAACTGGAGGCATGCCAGCTTTACCAATCTGTGTTTGTCTTAGTCATAATATTTATCAAACAGAGAAAATTAACAAACCTGTGTTTAATTGCCACACAAACACTGCAGCACACTTCATCATGGTTTTTGCAATATCCGTCAATGTATTGTCCGTAATGACTTCCACATTCCACTGATCTCTTTCCATGGACTTGATCTGTGTCACCTAGAAGCTCATTAGCTTCAGTGACCTCCACAATCTGATGTTTACGTAATGCTGCAAACTTGTTGTGGTCATTTAAACAGTCCTGACAAACATATGTTGTACATTCCACACAATATTTGATCGCTACTGTTGTCCTCTCTGCTTCAGAGCATGGGGTACAGTTAATAAACTCCTCAGACCCAGTTATTCCAGGTGTTGTTACCTCTTTCCTTGCCATATCTCTACTGACTGGTTGCTACAAACACAGCAATGTTTCATAAAATAACCTTTATGATTTAAACTTCCTTGTCCCACTTTATGAAAAATGACACCTGTGACTGAATCTTTCAAGTGTATCGTGCTATTAACGTCTTTATGTATTGATAATAAATGTTTAAAGTAAAATCCATTCAATAATTCAATGGCAGAAACTTTTTATTTTTAAAATCTTTTTTTTTGTCCCTTACAAAAACTTCAGACAACCACATAATGAAAAATGACACCATTGAATCTTTCAAGTTTATTTGCTATTTACTTCTTTATGTATCAACGATAAATGATTTATGTTAAATCCATTCAATACTGTTGAATGGCAGAAACTTTTTAATTTTATTTCCAAGATTTTAACTCAAGGATTTCATTTAATTTTGGCACCATGGTTTTGACTGAATTTAATTTTCTTGTAAATGTCAGCTAGCGAAATTCTTTAGATGAACTGTAACCAAGTTTTTTATTAGCTCACCTTTCATAAAGTACCATGGTGAGCTTTTGTGATCACTTTTTGTCCGTTGTCCTTAAAATTTTACTTTAAACGACATCTCCTCATAAAACCCGAAGCCAATTTCATCCAAACTCACCTTCAAAGAATTTAATTCCATGCAGAACTCTGGTTGCCATGGCAACCGAAAGAAAAAACTTAAAATATCTTCTTTTAAAAGAACAAAAGAGCTAGAGCTAAGATATTTGGCATGAAACATCTTCTAGTTAATGTCTATCAAGTTTGTGAAAAAAAGCTCTAGGGTCAAAATTGGCCCCGCTCCAGGTCACAGTATATAAAAGATTTAAACCCCAACCGGATCTTGTGAGAAGATGTCAGTGTCAGCCATGTTCTAACGTTTAACTTATTTAATATATTGGTATTTATATTGGTACTTTTGGACGTTAGGTTAGTAAATCTATATTTATATCATAGAAGAGAAACTTTATTAAGCGTTTAAGTTATGCAAAATATAAATGTTAGCATTAAAGCTATAAAATAATCGAAACTCACGAACTGCTTTCAGGTGATCAACACTAAACACTAGCAAAATCCGTCTTATTTCAAGGTTTATTTAATTAATCATTGAATTGTGATATCGAACTACTAAAATAATCAATAACAAATAATAATTAAGTCATCTGCAAAAAATATTGCTGTATTTTGAACATTAAATTAAGAGTTTAACAAAGGTGGTCAATTCCGTAAACTGAACGTTACTTGCTGGGGATTGTGAACCCTACTTGTGAGTTTACAAATTTTGTCTGTACCCTAACTTGTGAGTATTTTAAAAGATTTAATGGAGAAAACATGAATTATTTAACATATTTATTTGTTTATTGAAGGCAAATTGGAAGAATTCAGTTGTCTTCATTGCCCACTTTCTTTTTAAAAAAAAATCGGAAACACTATTGTTCATAATTTGGACATCAGAACAAAAGCTTAAAATAACAATTTCTCAGTTTGACAACAATAACAGAAACATTAAAATCATACTCAAAAGACTTTATAATTATTCCAAAAGAACTGAAAAAGTTAAAAAGGACCTTAAAAGCAAATGATATTACAAAAACAGTAAAAATTTCAAGACAAGAAGAACTTGAAAAATAATCAAGAAAAGTCAAAAAACAAAACGCCTGTTAAAAGAAGTTCAAATATCAACAAAAGATACGTTTTTTAGTACAGATGACGAAGAGTTAAAGTTTAAACTTGGTATCAACTTATTTCACAGATCCCACAATTTTATGTTGTGTTTTTAGGGGAGTGTTTGTTACACGAAAGCTACTGTCAAGACCCTCAACTACAAATGATTCACCCAAATCCATCTGAAATACATGTTTATGGCAATTTATAGAAAGGAACTAGATATATAATAATATATCTTTTGACTTTAGATAACTTATAACTTATAATAGCCAATGATAAACCTTTTAGCTCACCTGTCACAAAGTGACAGGGTGAGCTTTTGTGATCGCTTTTCGTCCGGCGTCTGTCCGTCCGTCCGTCCGTACGTCGATCCGGCGTCCGTCCGTAAACTTTTACTTTAAATGACATCTCCTCATAAACCACGAAGCCAATTTCATCCAAACTTCACAGGAATGTTCCTTTGGTGGTCACCTTTAAAAATTGTTCAAAGAATTTAATTCCATGCAGAACTCTGGTTGCCATGGCAACCAAAAGAAAAAAACTTTAAATATCTTCTTTTAAAAAAACCCAAAGAGCTAGAGCTTAGAAATTTGGCATGAAACATCTTCTAGTGAGTGTCTACAAAGTTTGTTCAAATAAAAGCCCTACTCAAGAGAACTCAAAAGCAAAAACTTTAAAAAATCTTCTTTGAAAAAACCTAAATAGCTAGAGTTTAGGTATTAAGCATGAAACATCTTCTGGTGAGTGTCTACAAATTTGTTCAGATAAAAGCCCTGGGGACAAAATTGACCCTGCGCCGGGGGTCATTGATTTTCCTTATATGTGTATAGCAAAAACTTAAAAATCTTCTTTGAAAAACCCAAATAGCTAGAGATTAGATATTAAGTATAAAACTTGTACTAGTAAGTGTCTACAAAGTTTGTTCAAATAAAAGCCCCGGGGTCGAAACTGGCCCCGCCCCAGGGGTGTCATTGTTTTTAACTATATGTGTATAGTAAAAACTTAAAAAGTCTTCTTTGAAAAAACCTTAATAGCTAGAGTTTAGATATTAAGCATGAAACATCTTCTAGTGAGTGTCTACAAAGTTTGTTCAGATAAAAGCCCTGGGGTCAAAATTGGCCCTGCCCAGGGGGTCATTGACTTTCCTAATATGTGTATAGTAAAAACTTAAAAATCTTCTTTTAAAAAACCCAATGAGCTACAGCTTAGATGTTTAGCATGAAACATCTTCTTGTGGGTGTCTACCAAGTTTGTTCAAATAAAAGCCCTTGGGTTAAAATTGGCCTTGCGGGGGTGGGGGGCAGATCATTGTTTTTCATTATATGTGTGTAGTAAAAACTTAACATCATGAAATATCTTCTTAATGGTGTTCCAAGTTTGTTTAAATAAAAGCCCTGGGGTCAAAACTGGCCCCGCTCCGGGGGCCTATATACAGGTGAGCGACCTCAGGGCCATTATGGCCCTCTTGTTCGACAAAGGGTTAATAATCCTAAAGATAGTAATTTATGCCTTTTAATTTGACCGGTAATGGCACTTAACAATAGTGTTTATTATATCAGCCTCAATGCCAACTGTAAAGAAATGCCAATAAAGATTGACAATATAACGATTTTCCCGTCGTGGCAAGGGACAACCGCATGTCTTTATTCCTTGCACAAAAAATGTAAATATAGAATAGAGTAGTAGGTTTTGTTCTGTATGACACTTGTATTCAGTTGACTGCCAACCATGTGGCACTAGAACATACACCCCTTTTTACAAGCTATCATACATTAGAGATAGTGTAAGGGATTCATCTATCCAGCAACTATCGTGTTTAAACGTATTTCGTGTAAAAACTGGTTCAAAGATGTTTATTGCACCACTTAAAAGTTATTGACAAATAAATGTCTAAATCAAATTGTATGCGTATTTTCTTATATTTACTTTTAATTACTGCTGGTGGTAACAGATTATGTCCATGCGACCATTGCAGACCAATTGAGACCAGTATGTTCCAAGGAACTGGTATTTCGCTTAAATGTTTGTTCATTGTTTTCATTGTACACTATTTAGTCAGGGTATATTTTCAGAAAATGATAAATGATTTTGCAGGATGGGTACAGTATGTACATTGAAGATATTTAGTGCAATAAGGGTTAAAACCAAAGAAAATTTATATCTTATAAGTGGAAAATATGTATATCGTCTATTTTAATCAAGTTTATTTGTAATCACTGCATCAACACCCACTCATTACTGTCTTAAATAAAAATTGACGGTCTATTTACATTAACCTTATAACGTGCTGCATATATCATTTAGTTTGTAACAAACAGTTACCATATTTGCTTCACTCATAAATATTAATGACCTTCAATTCTTACCAAGTGTTACCAGATCATTGCAGTAACATTTTCTCATATGAATTTTTATTAAATTTTTATGTTACGTCTTCATTATATAAGAACCAAAAAGGGACAAATTCTTCCTCTTGATAACAGTTTTCAGCTTATACATTTATTCCTAGTTGCCATAAAATAAAGCACAAAAAATTCAGTGATACAATCATAATAATTCAGTAGTTTTAGTACCACCCCTATTTCATTTCAAAGGACACCTTTAAGTCATTTGTAGCAAGCTATCGGCATTTTGTTAATTCAATTTATTACATACAAGTTCCTTGAATTAAAACCTTATTGTGAAAAAGAACTTTGGTGCTTGAGGGGAATTAAAAGGAACATCTTGATTATTGGGAGTTGACAAAATGTTTTAAACTAAGGATCAAAATTAATGTTAGTATACATTCTTTTATTTAGCAACTGTCTGCAATTTCGGAGAAATGATAGAATGAGTAAGTTATGAAAAAGGACAGTTAACAAATTACATACATAATGTGATTCTTGTTGAAATGTCATATTTGTTTAATTATCCATTTAGAAGCAATGCAGTCCTTTTAGAATATTTTGTTATTTTAATCTCACAACATGAACTACGCATATAATACAATAACCATTAGCTTGCAAGTGGCAACTTATTTTATACCCATGCAAATAATACAGCCTGATTTTCATGCTGAATTTGAGCATAAGAAAAAAGAAAGGACTTTAATATACATGTGGTATTTGAAAGTATGTAGAGTTTTCAAACACAAAAGTTTGGAAGTATGTGGACCGTTCCTATAATCAATCAATTTGTGGAAGTACAACTGTCTTCCATACAGTGGTATATCATGGAGTATTTATGGCATGAAGTAGTTTAACTTATATATGGGACAACCATGGAAAGAAATTATCACGAAGACCATTTACAAGTTTCATGTTTAATTTAGCACATGCTTATAAACTAATATCATTTTATATAAA